CGAGAGAGACCCCTTCAAAATAATTAGCATTCAAACGGTTTTGATTTCTGCTCATAAGGGACCTTTAAACTGAGCAAGGGACAAGAGGCTTTGCAAAAGGCAACTACAGTTCCTGCCGGAATTGGCTATTTCTGGAGACCATTATATTTCACCCTGTGTATATACACCTTTGAATGAGGCAAATATACTCCTGCCTCACAGTGAGACTCGCACTATTGCAGTGTTTGAAATAATGCTAAATAAGCTCTGACAGTATTTGGCATAACATGTATCTCTGAATAAGGCAAACTCAGTGGAGGGGCTCTTTTATCATTGCCCAACTCTTCTGTGCCCTCCCCACACCTGTTGCAAACCTGTTGTTATTCAGGACAGTCACTTCACATTAGTGCAGGGCAGGAAAGATGGACAGAGATCCAGCCCTTGATCTGCATATATCTTGAGCTGCTATAAGCCACCTAAAGATGTGACTGAGCTTGCAGCAGACACAGGGTAAGGAATTGCAGATATTCACTGTGGAAGATATCACCTGCTCTAGCCTTCAACCAGCATAGGTCTGTTTCCACCAGTATATTCTCCAGAGCTTTGGCCTAGCATGATTTCATTGATAATTTTCATCTTGCTGGCACCTCACATATGAGGATTCACAAACATCAGCTAGGTTTCACAATGCCTGTGCAGGGTGTACATGAGTGTCTCCATTTCACAGGTGGGAAAACTGAGGCACAAGGGAACAGAGGGATTGTCTACACTGCAGTGGCAGCATGGCCTAGCTGGGACAGCCCCCAAGCAGGGCCTGCCCACTTGTTCCTCCTTGTACACTCCAAACAGTGAATGTGTCAGTGAACACAGACCAGGGACATTCCCAAGAGCCACTCTCAAGAATACAAGAGATTGAGGTCTCAAGAGGGACCTCAAAGGGATACCAAGTGTAGACATGCTCAGAATTACCAGGAGGCTTGAGAACTGAAACCCAGGCATCCCAACAGTCAGCTTCCTGGTTGTGGCTGGGGGGGGGGGCGGGTGGGGGGGGGCTCTTCTCATGGAGCAGAA